CTTGCCTTGATAACCACATGTGCCCTCCGGCCCCTTGAGCCTGCGTAGTATTCGAGTGACAAAGACTGCCTCCGAAAATGTATGACCCGAAAAAATTCTTACCAGGGTGATGATAAGCTACTTTAGGAGGGTCGAAAATTCAAGGTGCTCTGAATAAGGAGGCATTTCTAGGGTGCAAGATGGTGTGAAATTCACTGGCTGATTTAAAGTCAATTCTGTATTCAGCAAGCTATCTAGCGGTATTGCCTGGTAATATAAAAAAATAGTTTAGCATGAGTTTATCACAAAGTATATATGACGAGGCAGTGATTTTAAAATATGCAAGAATTCAGTGACATGGTTCAGTTGATTCTTGCATACAAGGAGCTGAAACGACTAACTATGATTTCCCTTCAGCTTGAAAAGATAACTTCATATTTCTTTAAATGGATGTAAGCAATACGGAAAATATAATATCTTGCGCTAGAGGAGACACACTTATGTTTAAATTGTGACAAAATCTAGACTGAGATGAATTCTCAAGGAAAGTTCCTTTGCTTTTCAATAGCCTAATGGATTAAATTCTATGAAAATTAAAGAGAGGATAAAGCCAATATTTAAGCATCTCCGTACAATATATAAAATTAGAGGTTTTTCGTAAACAGGATCGATAACAAGTTTAAACTTATATGGGCCTAGTAAAGACCCTAATGGGAGTCAAACCCTGGCCATATTCGTGATCTAAAATATTAGCACATGTCAATCGCACTAAATGGGTAAGGCTGAACGGCGACTTTCTTGTATCCAGAGTGTGTACTTGTATGCCAGAATGGAAATATGATCCTAACTTGGCGAGTTGGAGGTATCAATATAAATTTTGAATTTCTCAGGTCCTAAGCAATTTATGTCACATTATCGGTACCAAAGTCGAGTGATATACTGAGAAATGTGTTTGGCTCTGGAAAAGCAAAGCGTGTGTTTAAAAAAAGATATGTACTAATAAGAATCATTCAAGTAAAAAAATTGT